TTATCGTTCAATTGTATTGAAGATGGTAAAATCAAAAGAATACGTTCAATCGTGGCTTATTAAAGTTGGCTTCGAGGACTATTGCCAGTGTTTTAAAGGTATGTTTTCATTTGAAAGCGCATGATATCATATTTTCAGTTGGTCGCCGACAAACAGAGTTATAACTTATGGCGTTTACATGCACGTTTTGCAAGTACGCGACGCTGTTTTTCGATTTAATTTACAGGTAACGTTCATCCTGTTTAAAATATTTAGTTACGCTGTAATATATTGGGTTATTGTGTCTACATATATTCTAACTTTCCTTCATTGTTCTATTTCCTCTCGCGCCACGCCAGGGTGCTCGTCGCGTTTTTCGGTGTGTGTTTGGCCTGATAAATGACTCGAAATAACACCATATCGACCTGAAAATTTCCCCACATACTTACGTAACATTTACTTTTAAAGTTTATTACAAAATATAGACTATGGTGTTTGCGCGCAAAATCCTTTCTTTAATCAAGTTGCCTACTGGTCGCCTGTTTGGCTGTTCGGTAAAATTAAGTTTTGTGAGTTCAGTCTCAGATAACAATTTATTTTTTAGATAATATGATTGATGGACCTGCCCTTATAGGTCTCACTGAACGAGCATTAGAATTGTTAGTTCCATCAATAGGGCCACGAATGAATTTCTTACAAAAACTGCCAACCCCAAGCGCCCAAACCTTTGGAGGCTACAACACCTCCTGCTACACTCATTATTGAAGATGACGTAAATAATCCTGACAACCAGTGCACATCCACAGCAATGCAAGAACAGCCTAGAAGCCCAACGGCAACACCAGAATCTGAAGGATCAAGGTTGGTTTTACTTTCATCTGTTTGAATGTTAATTGCAGCAATAGCACAGTAGTTTCTGCCTGAAAGTATAATTCTAGAAGTTTTACATCTTGAATATTGTCATAATGTCATTGCGCATTGGGTTTTTTCAACCAGCTTTTGTCTTAGCCTAATACTCTTAGGGGGAATGCTATGTTGTAGATGTATAGCTATCTTCTGTAGTGATGATTATAATGGTCAAGAGAAAACTAAGAAATAGCCAACAGGATTGTATATAGGTAATATTATAGTGTGTTTTCTGATGCAAATTTTTTTTGGGGGGGGGGACTGATCGACATGACAACAAAGATGTTTTACGTTTTCGCGCTAATGCCACGTACTTCTCTTTGGGCATTGACCATTGTGATTCTTTTTGACATTGTAGTTCAATAATTCAATAAAGATTAACTCAATCACTAAGTGTTAAATATTAGTTATAAGCCTTATGTTATTAAACAAAAATTATTTTAATTATATAATATTTCAATTCACTTTAAAACAGGATTTTTCTAAGAAACCTGTAGAAACCCGTTTTAAAGGTTGCATGGTTGTACACTTTCTGTGCTGACAATTTTTAATTTTTCCTGCTCAAATAGAGCAACCTGGTTTACAAGGGTACTATATATTTACTGTATTCTATTATTTCTACTCATTTTAACCAAAAATTAGAAATAAAATAACTGAAAACATGCAGTTTGTAATAGGCAACAAACTTAAATAACAGTACAGTTTGTCTTGAATTTTGACCTGAGTATTGCTGTTTTTCAGCTTTTGTGTAAGGCCGGCACTTGCCGCCTTTAACCAATAGCTCACTCAGGTGGCACATTCCAGAGCCGCCTGTCAGTGAGAACTACTGAGACAGAATTTAAGGCTTGTATACATTCATGTTGATGCAGTTTTCTGTTGTTGTGTAAGGCAGTTATGCTGCCTTTTACCAGCACCTCTTTTGAGTGGCATGTGAAAGCAAGCCGCTCATGAAAGGGGAGATGCATGGCTGTATACCTTCTGTGGTAATGATTTTTAATTTTTCCTGCTCAAAATAGAGCAACTGGTTTGCAAGGGTACTATTTATTTACTGTATTCTATTATTTCTACTCATTTTAACCAAAAATTAGAAATAAAATAACTGAAAACATGCAGTTTGTAATTGGCAACAAACTTAAATAACAGTACAGTTTGTCTTGAATTTTGACCTCAGTATTGCTGTTTCTCAGCTTTTGCATGTGTAAGGCCGGCACTTGCCGCTTTTAACAAATAGCTCACTCAGGTGGCACATTCCAGAGCCGCCTGTCAGTGAGAACTACTGAGACAAAATTTAAGGCTTGTATACATTCATGTTGATGCAGTTTTCTGTTGTTGTGTAAGGCGGTTATGCTGCCTTTTACCAGCACCTCTTTTGAGTGGCATGTGAAAGCAAGCCGCTCATGAAAGGGGAGATGCATGGCTGTATACCTTCTGTGCTAATGATTTTTAGGGTACTACTGTATTTATTTACTGTATTCTATTATTTCTACTCATTTTATAACCAAAAATTAGAAATAAAATAACTGAAAACATGCAGTTTGTAATTGGCAACAAACTTAAATAACAGTACCGTTTGTCTTGAATTTTTATCTCAGTATTGCTGTTTTTCAGCTTTTGTGTAAGGCCGGCACTTGCCGCCTATTTAAGGCTTGTTTACATTCATGTTGATGCAGTTTCCTGTTGTTGTGACAGTTGTGTATGCCGCCTTTAACCTTTATGTTAAAACCAGCTGCTCATGAAAGGGGATGCAGTTAGATGTATACCTTTTCATTCTGCACTGATGATTTTCAATTTTTCCACCTTTGAGCAACAAATCACTCAGGTTCATGGCACTTGTTTGAGACACCTGAATAGCTCCCCAGAATATCTCCCCGACAAAACAACAGCACTTTTATCAGAACCTCTTTAACATGGTTGAGAAGATAATAGGCTCCCATGGGAAGAGATGGAAACTATAACAAGCATGCATGGGAAAAGATGGAAACTATCAACAGTAAGTTTAATGTGCCACCAGGGGCGGATCCAGCTCCTGAGTTGACTGATGCATACATAAGACCTCGCATTTCTAGGGGGGTCCGGGGGTATCCTCCCCCGGGAAATTTTGAAACCTAGGACCTCGGAAATGCGATTTCCTGCGTTCTGAGCGAACTCTTTTGTTGCAATTCCTATATCAGAGTCACAAAAATTTTGCTGCATTTTTGGAAAAACACATAAAAAACTTGAACCTTTAACGCAAAAAAACATAATTTCTCCACATAAGAAAAAAAAATTTGCTGGTACAAGTGTAAGTCTCTATTAAAAAATAGTCAGTACTGTGCTTCTTGTAGCCTTAACTTTTCTATTGAAAAACATTTCGGCAGAAAATCACGACAACACAAATACACACATACTGTGTAACAAAGGTGCATACAGTGTGCTCCACTAGTTGCATTGCTGGACTCAGAAGACAGTGTTATTATGTTGTTTATGAACCACCTTCCCCTATTAATTTCCAATGTTCCATGAGTAAAATCTTCTAGCATTAGAATTTAAAGTAAAATAACATATGGTGCATAAATATTAAAGGTATTTTGTGCTTTACTGGGTAAATATATGCAACTCTGTTTTATGCTGCTAATCTTACACTGCATGGACAGTGTGGTTGGCATCAGCTGGTCAATTTCATTTTCCCCTAGGCTAGCTGCCTTTCAGATGAACTGCATGGTGAATAGCCCACACTCTGAATACTGAGAATATTGCCTTGTGGTGAGGAAACCAGTAAACTAACACACAACAAACACTGGGTTTAAAATTATATAAATATATAACTAGGTACACACACGTTTTAAATCAATAGAGACTGCGTGCAAATTAATTTAATGAAGCTATCTTAATTGGAAATTGTTTGTTAAATAAACCAATACCAACTGTTTTTTAAACAATGATAAACATGACATAATTTAATCATATGTCTTCTATCTGTCCCCTTTTGCCTGCCTTTCAACTAATATTAATACAGTACTCCTTTAAGAAAGGCTGCACAGTAGTATTGATGAATATTTAATTTTCCCCATATTATCTTGTCAAATAATCCATACACTTATCAATGGTAATTGTAATCCTCAGGGTGGCATCCTGGCTATCCAAAACATAATACTGGGATAATTAGCATTACAAATATATAATTTAATTAAATATATTTTCCAAACTATCCCACTTTTGTGAGCAAATTTCATAATTATAACCTGTATACACCAGTTACAGTATATACAGTATTTATACCGTCCATCATTTTATCATTGATTCTAAGTTTAAATCTGTCAGGAGAATGTCATATGATATATACAGCTTGTATCAAATTATATTTGCACAGATAAAGCATATAAACACTCAACTATGGTAGGCGAGCAAACCCAGGTAATCATCTTTGTTTGCAAAATATCCAGCTAGTGTATAGTAATTGCCCAATAACTTAGGCAATGCCAAGAAAAACCCGGTCACAAGGCATGCCAGCTCATTTCCATATAAAATGAAAATGAAATGAAACAGGAGATACCACTGGAAGTTACAACTTGAAACAATTACCTTTCATGTAAACTCCCCCTTAGTCTTCTAACCAATGTTGCATTAATTACTATTAGAAATCTCATTAACCTGCAATTATGCTCTGTAATTACATACAGAGACTGATGCAAGTCTTGATCCATTCAGAGTTACTTTCCACCCACACTATAGTTTTATTTTTGGTATCCAATCAAAATGTGCCAGAAGAAATGTCAATTTCACACAATAACAACTGCAAGCTAAATATAGTTACAATCACTAAATATATCATTATTTAATTATAGCATTAACCAATTATCAAAACAATACATTAAATATGGCATGAATACTCATGCTAGAAATAGCCAATCGGAGTCACAACAATAAAGGCAGTTGTAGGACACAAACATAATAACATGTGTATCAGGTCTTCATTTTTCTTTGCCCGCCAGCTGTGAGAAAAATGAAGTCTGGGCACAGGATATAATCCCATGTAAACAGAGATGAAATTTGCCTCAGTAAAGCAAGCTGTCAAGTTTGTTTTGGGGCTAGTTTGGCTCCAGACAAGCAAACCTCTGTAAAATTTCAAACTCTACCCCCCCCCCCAACCACTAACATCTTTCTGGTCTTTCTGGAATATAGAGCAACAACAGTAATAGACACAAACTGTAATTATTTTGTTATTACATACAAATCTATATTAATTGTGCAGGACCCCATTTTCCGCTTTACACACTTCTTGAACTGAGCAAATTAACTACTACCATTTGTAAAAATATAGAGAAATTTAACTTACTAATTAGAGCCCTCAGTTCGATCGAGTTTCATATCGTGGGCATAAGATCCCTTCCATTCTTCCACTTGGTAGTAATTGGTTCGACTGTAAATTATATGTTCTCCGTCAATTTCGAGGGATTTCTCTTCGCATTATTTGCATTTGCATATAGTGTTTGCATATCCAAATTGATCAAATATCCTTGCCGCCATGTCTTGAATCGAATGCCTCGTTACGTCACAGTAGATTTGATTTTCAATTTGCATCAGTGCACTGATGCGAGCGCCCGCAATCTGCATGCGATGCATCGCTCAGCGGCCAAATCTAACGTGACGTAGGGCTCTAAAACAATAGATTTGATGATGTCACGTTAGATTTCACGCGGAAAAGGACTCGGGACCGATGCATTCACTGATGCAAAAATGGATGCCAATCGAATCTAACGTGACGTAGGTGATGCATTTTGCTTCAACTGTGACGTCAGGATGCGGTAAAAAAATAACATATTTTGTCGCGAAAATATTGACGCTTAAGTGTCGCAAAACAACAGAAAAAAGTACAGTTAGCGATCGCAATTCGCAACGTCGTATGTTGGACAATATTTTGACAATTTCGATTGTTATTGAGACTATTTAAATTGGATTTCATCCTAAATAGTGTATTCCTGACATGGAGTTAATTTTAAGCAAAGATTTGCGGGTTGATAGGAGATATTTTATTACTGTGTGCTTTGACTATTGGCGAATTATATATCTATATATTTCAAGCAACATGAATCATGATTTCTCAATTTTTGACCGATGCATTCGCATCGCTGGCATCGGTCTGGATCCGCCCCTGTAGGCCACCTATGGTAAAATACAGCATTAAGAAACTATACATGAAACAATGTGCATGTAATCTCTTTTTAAATATACACTTCTATTTTTGATAGGAGGATGAAAGCTTTGAAGATGCTGCCGAGAGTGCGAACGAAGTAAGCCCGAAAATAGTCATTAAGGGAGACCCCGATGATTGGGAGGAGACTGCTATTGTAGCAGAAAAGATGGTCCTTTTCACGTTTCAAGAGTGGGTGGTGGACGCAGCTGCCAAGAGCTGTGGTATTTATGGCTGTAAATTATGTTTTTATGTTCGAGTACGCAGGTACCTTGAATAATTTCTGTTTGTTTTTGCAAAAGTGTGTGTTGAACATCAACGATGGCAAGAAGCTGCCAGCTTCAGTTATTAGCTTCGTCAATAAACTGGACTCGATGGCCAACTAGATTGACTAATATACTAGGAACATAATTTACAATAACTATTTTAAACATTATATAAGTATACAGATATAATTTTATAAAAGACTGTTCTCTTTAATACCTTGATTAAACCTTGAAGATGAAACAATGAAACTTGCATGAATACTTTAATAATTGATCGATCATCCATTCATAATCTTTTTTCAAGACTTTTAATTTTTGAGGACGATTTATATACACATGAAAGGTTAAGTTCAGATTCAGTCACATACTCAATGGTCACACATTTGTTTTAGCCCGGCCACAGTAAACCCAAGCTTTCCATGCTCTGTGTTATATAATCCGAATAAAATTTCTATAAAAATATTTCCAAATTATTTTACAGAATTAAACAACAATCTGTTAGGTGTTGTATTAAGGTGAATTTAACCACTCATGTGTATAAGAAGACAGCTGGCATATATATATATATATATATATATATATATATATATATATATATATATATATATATATATATATATATATATATATATATATATATAAAAATTGGACTGCATACTCGTCCTCCAAATTGGCCAGTATTTTACACTATAGAGCGGTTTGCTGATTTCTCTATATCAGTCTGCTGCAGCGTTATTTACCAGCTCCATGCATGCAGACAGATTTTATTGTGTACTGACTGTCCATTGTGGATTTTTAACGATTATTAATTAATTATAACATTTAGTCACCAAATATTTTCTGTGTTTACTCTTGGTTTTGTCTGTACGTGTATTTGTTGCATTATAGTAACTGAAATTTTCTATATAGAGGTATATGTAGATAAATCTGAAGCTTTGAGAAACGCTCACACAAAGTTTGAGTAATCTTTACATTTACTCGAAATAAGGAGTCAGTATGGGTACATTTTAGTTGAGTGACTAGAACTCTTTTTTGAGTAAAATTATTCCAGTTTTGAGTAACATTTACTCAAAGTTTGAGTAATCTTTACATTTACTCCAAATGAGGAGTCACTACGCATACATTTTATTTGAGTAACTAGAACTCTTTTTCGAGTACAATTACTCCGGTTTTGAGTAACATTTACTCAAAGTTTGAATAATCTTTACATTTACTCAAAATAAAGAGGCAGTATGGGTGCATTTTTTTTGAGTAACTAGAACTCATTTTTTGAGTAAAATTACTCCAGTTTTGAGTAACATTTACTCAAAGTTTGAGTAATCTTTACATTTACTCAAAATAAAGAGGCGGTATGGGTGCATTTTTTTTTAGTAACTACAACTCATCTTTTGAGTAAAATTACTCCAGTTTTGAGTAACATTTACTCAAAGTTTGAGTAATTTATCAACTATATGATGTGTGTACTTTGAGTAGTTTTAAGTGAGTGAGATTCACTCGAAAATGTGAGTAACTGTTACTCGCATTTATGAGTTAGTTTTACTCACTATTATGTGTCACTATGGGTGCATTCATTTACTCATGGTTTTGAGTACATTTTACTCAGGATTTTTTGCAGCATTGAATGGAAAATTCGATCTTTCAATTCATCAAAATATTTTTCCCAATTGCACTCGTACACAATTATTTGTATATTATATTAGTTGTAGAAAAACATATTATTATGGCAGTAAGGAATAGAATAGGATTTTTTAAAGAATATATTAAAGATGCTGTAAAGTCCGTTCTGCGCATCAGTTCTGCTCATAACATAGGGGACCCGCAGATATAAACATTGTCAAAATTTTGCATGTTTCGAACTTTTTTGAATTGAAACTCTACTATTCATTTACACGTCTACTATTCATTTACATTGAAACGCCTACTATTCATTTACAAGCACAGCGAACCAGAAAAGTGCTAGATATTTAGTTAGTGTATCATACTTTACAAATATAGCTGTTCAAAATGTAAAAAAATGTAAAAAACCCCGCTTGTTTACATTATTTTCATTCACCCGACAATATTACGTCATTTTTCATTGCTCAAAATTAGGTGACTAAAGTTACAAACTACCTGTTCGCAGCTAACCTACAAAAGTATAATTAAGTTCTCTTTCGAAATAGCTTCACTAAATACAAAACCGCCCAATAATGTAGGAAAACGATATTCTAAATTAAGTCCCAACTCGAACAGAGGGTTTCAGCCTTTTGGTGAATATGAACCAAAACAATATTTCACTCTAACTAATAATTTTTCAGATTTCAATTGCCTGCGTTTATAACACATTTAAGGGAGTTTTAGTGCTGAGTTTAATTACTGCTGATTCGATTCTGTCATGCTTGCTGATATTAAGCTGCTATACAATACACTTATACGTGAATACATATATAGGCTACTGTCTGGGTGTAACATGCTTAAATTAAGGCTGTTCATGATGCAAGCGACTGCGAGATTTTAAAATTTAAGGAGATAATATCACATATATACCTACATCTCTGAGGGTAAGGGACTAAAAATTTAGCTATGTTAATGTTTCGAGTAGATACAGAATGATAACAATGATTCACTATGGTGTGTATGTGACAACCAATCATAACCTTTGTACTAGATTACGTAAACGCACCTTACCGGAACTAATGTACAATTAATTATGCATGATATGAACCTGAGCATGTTATTGGATAACTTGAGAATTTTCGTAGTATAGAATAAAGGGTTAAGCGAAGAGCTTGTCTTCCTTGAATATACCTATTATACATTTACTAGTATGTAAGTTACTACATTGGCGACGAGAATGTACTAAAGATTGATATAGAGCAACAAATTATGCGCCACGACAAAGAGAAAAAAGGTTCTAGGTCCGAGACGAACTCGAGCGTAAATAATATAAGCGTGACCAATCGCCAACGCAACGCGAGACCATTTCAGCTCAACGAAAATCGCACTGAAACTGCTTCAGGATGGGAAAAATGGCTACGGAACATCGAAAGACAGTTTCGCTACTTTGGGATCACAGGCCCAGCGATGAAGAAAGACTGCTGATCATTTTCGGCGGTCAAATAATTGCAGATTTAGAAGACACACTTCTCGACGCTACAGACAACGAAGCCGGCGAAGATGCACATATCGATGCCTATGCACATATCATAATCAAACTCAACAAACATTTTCTACCGAAGAAGAACAAAGATTTTGCTAGATTTCAGTTTGGAAATCTTAAGAAAAACGACGGTGAATCGCTTGTTCGATACTATACACGCATCAGGGAAATAGCAAAGAAATGCAGTTTCTCGAATGACAGCGGAGCTATTCGAGACCACTTAATAAAAACAATGATGAACAATGTCGTATGTATCAAAGCAATACGCAAGAATTGGACGTCGACCAAATTCCAGAAGAAGCTGAGTTGGACGAGGAAACCCAAACACAAGCTAAAGAGATGGAGAAGAAAGTAAATTCAGACGAAACAATGAAACGAGTCCAAAATTATCGACGACAACGACAGCAACCTTCGTCTCAGATTTTCTGTGAACAAAGCACATCACCGACCCGTGAAAAAAAAAACAAATCCTTGCAACCGTTGTGGATATGACCGGGCTCACAAACAATGTCCAGCAATGGGATCTCTTTGCAATGCATGTGGCAAACGTAACCACTGCGCCAAAGTATGTCGATCGAAGCCCGCAGAAAGATTTTCAAATAGCAGACGACAACGACAATTCGAAGGCAAAGACACAAGAGACACACAACAATCAACAATCAACATCGGGAGAAAGAAATCGGAGAGACAGGAAAATGCCAGAAAATAAAAATGTCAATAATAGAGATCGAAGCCCGAGTACCGAAAGCAGCACATCAAGTGATAGCGACTTGGTAAACCGCTTAAAGATACACAGGACGACAGGGGATGAAACGACTTTATCCTGTGTTGTTTACATAAATGGTCATAAAATGCTCGTTGAACCAGACACAGGTGCAGACTCTAACATTGTGGATGAAATTACAACTTCAAGAGTTGAAAACCAAGTCACCAGAGATACAACTATACGAGTCGAAAGTAAAGCTAAATACGCTGAAAGAGAAGCTACCAGTCAAAGGCGAATGCATTGTGACCATTGAAAACGAGACACGCATAACACAAGCACCAATGGTCATCATTAAAGGGAAAATCAACTCTTTACCTTTAATTGGACGAACAACCCTAGAAGAATTGGGCATGGTGAAGATTGATGAAACAGGACGACTTAAAGAACCGAACAAACCCAGTGGTACTTGCAATATTCGGAAACTACAAGAAACGCAGTCCAGTGATGACGAGCTACTCAAACCATATCAAGATCTATTTCATGGAATTTGCAGAGCGACCCGCAATGGAGAGGAGAATCAGCTACATTTACCAATGGATGAACAGGCTGAACCAGTTGCACAAAAACCAAGACGAGTTGCATACCACCTAATGGAACCTCTCCAGAAACGACTCCAAGAATTTGTGGAACAAGACATCATGGAGAAAGTTCCTGATCAAGAACCTATAACATGGTGTTCTGCTATGGTTGTACAACCTATAGCAAAGAATCCCAATGATATACGCCTCAGCTTGGATTTACGAACACTGAATAAATCCATGCTACGAAATTGCCAGGTCCAAGCACCCATTACAGAAGATTTTATTACAGCGTTTAAGGATTGCCGCATATTCAGCAAGTTTGACCTCAACCATGGATACCACCAGTTTGTCATTGATACCCAGTCCAGACAAGCCATGACATTCTCAACGCCATGGGGAAATTACCGATACAAACGTCTTGCGTTCGGGGGAGTCAACAGTCAAGACCTATTTGATGGCGAGATGGCAAACATCCTATCGGGTATTCCCAGAACACTGAACAATCGTGATGATATTATGATTGGAGGTGTAGATCTTGCTGACCACGACAAGAACCTGAAGATAGTGCTGGGACGACTAAAGGACTACAACCTTACGTTAAGACAAGAGAAATGTGAATACCGAAAGTCAATACTTGAATTCCATGGCCACTGACCGATACACGCTATTCTCAAATCGAAAGGGAGGCATTAGCAGCTGAATTTTCCACAAATCGACTGCAGATGTACTTACTCAGAGCACCAAAATTTAAGCTAGCGACTGACCACAAACCATTACTTCCTCTTCTCAACAACCCCAAAGCGAAAATTCCACCACGAATTGAAAGAATTATAATCAAGATGCACAATCTGGATTTTGGAGCTATCTACATACCAGGAAAGAACAACATGACCGACTGTTGATCACGACACCCTCTTCCAGAAAATGGCAAAGACTATATTGAGAAGCATGTCAACGCAGAGATCAAAGCAGATTTCGCCATAGTCTGGCCAAAAATCAAGAAAGCCACGGCAGAAGACAAGGAATTGTGCGAAATGATCGAAACGATTGAAACCGGAAATTGTAGTGAAGCAAAGCAGTTTTTGATACCCTACTACGAAGTCAGAGATGAACTCTTTGTCGCGGATGGAGTAATCATGCGAATGGACCGTATTGTATCACCGAGCCAGCAAAAAATGGCAGAGTTACCAGACCGACCATGGGATGTGGTAGAAGCTGATTTTTGTGAGATATGCACTGGTACTTATCGACCAAAATTCACGGTTTCCAGAAGTGGATATGGTAACATCTACATCCACAATACCAGTGACAAAGAAATTGAAGAAGATTTTTTCTACCCATGGAATACCTCGAATACTACAAACTGTTAACGGTCCACCATTCAATGGTGAACAATTCCAAGCCTTCGCTGAAGAAATGGGATTTCACCACAAGCGAGTAACACCAATACATCTGAAGGCGCAGGGCCAAGTGGAAAATTTCAATAAGCGGATCAACAAAACAACAAAGATTGCCTGTGAAGAAGGAATCGATATCAAGAGTGCAATATATGATATGTTACAAGCATACAGACAGACACCCCATCCGGCAACAAAGTCAAAGCCGTACGCGGTTTTGATGCACCGTCAAGTTCGAGCACGATTGGAACATTTTCCCACCGAAGTTCACATCACCCAAGATGAGGTCAAGAAGAATGACAAAACCTAGAAGCAGAAACTTAAGCAGTACCACGATAAACGTCGCAGAGTGAAAACACATACAATCAAGTGAGGTGATGCCGTTTTGATAAAGAGAGAGAAAAGGAAGAAGCATACACAGTACGAGCCGTACATATACGTGTGACAAGCATAAAAGGATCAACCATCCGTGCGAAACGTGTAAAGGATGGAAAAGTTAAGTGCAGAAATGCATCGAAGGTTAAACCACTTAGAACAGCTCAATTATCAAAAGCCAACGATGAAACGGCGAGTGTAAAAGTACCAAGCAGCTACCAAGCGACAACATCCAGGACGACATCTCAGGACACGGACGGCAGCCCAAATGTTGCTGACACAACAAGTGAGACTATAGATAGATAGATAGATAGATAGATAGATAGATAGATAGATAGATAGATAGATAGATAGATAGATGATAGATAGATAGATAGATAGATAGATAGATAGATAGATAGATAGATAGATAGATAGATAATGTATTTAAAATTCACCTTGCAGCTGGACAGAGTATATAAAGTATATAAAACTTTAGAGTATATAAAACATTATTTAAAAGATAGAATATGGGTTAATTAGGCATATTTACAAATGGTCATTAAAACGCTTAGTACTAAAAATTACATTAACTTAAGTTACTAGACATAGGAATAAAAGTTTTTTAAATCTTTCTGTATTAGCTTCGAATCGTTCAAACAGTCTATTGTTCCTAAGTTGGTAAATCGACTCATGTTTGGGAGGCAGTAAATTATGCAGTTTGTGTGTTGGATTGTTAGTAATATTTGTGAAAAGTTTGTTACACATATCTTCGCGTCTTTGGAACAAAGTTTGAAGATTGAAATATTCTAAAGTACGTTTCGCTATATGAGTTCGTGGGTAAAATGATCTTCAGTGCTCGCTTTTGTACCGTCACAAGATCTTCTAACAGGAAGGATTGGATTGAGTAATGGAAAACCGGGGCACAATATTCCAAAATGGGCCTGATAACTGTACAGTAGAAGTTTACAATTTCTTTCGGACTGACTTTTGCGCGCTTAAGTAAGATAATGAAGTAAAGACGTTTGTTAGCTTTTTTGGCCCTAGTGTAGTCTTGACTTGAATAATTAAATACATTTATAAAGCCTGAGCAACCCACGCAGATATGTTTTGTCAACATATAATACCTGTGTCGAAACAATCAAATACTTTCAGATACATCCTCTGTTACATTCTGGTATATTAAGTTTGGGAATATACTAACAGCACAACTGCACGTTAGGTTAATACAATGATAGAATATTTGATAAATTAAACGTTGGAGATTAATAGTTTCATTAAGTTTCTAACCGGATTGTACACTATTATAATCGTCATCACATGACAAGAAATGAAAATATGAAATCATCAAACTGATTCAGTAGTTGTATCAAGTCAAGGCGAATGAAACCAGAATTGGACAAGATATACATGTAATTCAGAAATAAGTATCTACATATTTTCAGTACAAGTGAATCAAAGGCTACAGGAATAATGAGAAATATTTGATGGAATCTTACTATGTATAGTAATTGTTGTGTAAGCACATTTTGCAGACGTTGGCCGCCTATTATTCACGATGGTTAATTTCTAAACACTTACCAACGTCAAAACGATATTAAATCATATTCAAATGCACACAGGATCGAACTTTAATTCCTAAATATAAACAGGTCATTTCAGCTAATAGTGCTGTGAAATTAATGCGAGAACTTCAGTAATACATGTAATATGTTCCTAACGAAATGCTCTAAAACAGAAGGACAATATCCCTACCTTTTAAATTAGTACCTTCGAACGCAAAGCTTTGTTCCTTGATAGGCCTAACTATACCAATTTCACCTGAATTTTGTCCGTCTTCAACGAAGTCTTCTATTGCTGCAATAAGTTATACGTTTTATCCCGTGATTTAATAAGCTATACGTTTTATCTCGAATGTCTTGCATGACTGACTGCACGATTGTTTCGGTATTGACATGCGCGTCATCTGTTGAAGCAATCATTCAACAACAGCAAGTCTTTGTTGCTAAGGCGTGTCGACACGTAGCCAGATTGCATTTCTTAAAACAAAGAAGTGGTAGCCTTCGATCGGGGAATAGGAAAGTGAAATACCCGGAATGCTAAAAAAAAACTCTATATCAAAGGTGTATCATAGGGTGTATCAAAATAAACGCAATTCATCTTTTGTGCTTAATAACTTTCGAAATACTATTTCTAGTTAAACGCTTTTAGGCTTACTTCAAAGCCTGTTCTTTTCTCTTTCAAACAAACTATTATCCTTGT